TTTTTGGTCAACGTTGGTCCGGGTTAGAAAGGGTTCGGTATAAACTACCACAACCTAGCCTGATTCCGTCTCATCTCTGAGTACCAGAATCCGTTAAAGCCATACGTAACATATTCCCCCTGAAAGAGGCCATTTTGGGTATCGTATCGTTCCGTTTGTACCGCTTTGAGTTTGGGTCGTCTACTTTCTAGCAGGTTTACTGTTACACTCTCTCATTTTACGTCCAATTTTTGATCTCCTTATGTTATTTGAATGGTATGAATGGTATAGCATAATAGTTCTACTACTACTTTTAATTAAGTTTTTTTTTAAGTCAATTATGAGAAAATCAATCATGATTCTTCAGAGTAAATTTTGAAAAATAGTGTAACCTTTGGTATACAAAATTTGAAAATGATATTGAGCAATTCGCCTCTTCGTATTTCCATTCAAAATCTTTCAAATGTTCTAAAAAGAACGAACATTGGACGTTTTTAGGGGGTGTCCTTAAAGTTATGATCGGGAGTGTACGGTTTTATAAATTTCTCCATTCAACTGAACACTCACTCTCTGAGTTAGTCTCGTTGTCCGTGCACACGTAAATACATGGATTTTTTTTTGTTCTAGCCCCTCGATAAGACATTTTGAAATTAGCCTAGAATGAAAGGGAGACTCTTAACATTCATTTGATGGAAGTTTCAGCGATATTGATCTTTTAAGATAATGTTTACCATCTGAGATACGTTTTATCACTAATTTATCAGAGCTTTAAAGGAGGAAGACTCACCCCAATTTATGTATCCACAAATCTGCATGAAAATCTTCACCAGTAAAAGAAATCCAGAATATATTTGTCTTATCCCACTTAGGCTGATGTAAATTGTATTTTTATTTTATGATATTTGATATGCGAGAGTTTTGAGAAATTTCTGTTCATCAGCCAAAAGATCTTTATCTCCTTAACAGCTTTGCGAAATACAGTAAATTTCTAGCTGTTCAGGATCTCGAGAAAATTTCACGTGTATACTAGTGCCGCTTAGGATCCCAAAACAAACCACATGCGAGAATTTCACGTAGATTCTAGCGCTACTGAGAAAATGTTGAACTACTGTGCACTAGTTAAAAATATCTGATCAGAATCTCGAGATATTTTACATGCGAGAATTTCGCGTGTATACTAACGCCACGTAGTGTGAAAATGTTGAACTATTGTGTACAAGCAATAGGCATTGACCTCATGAACAACTTTTTCAAAGACAGTAATTTTCTACCTGATCAGAATCTCGAGATATAGCATACGCGAAAATTGTACGCGTTTACTAGCGCTACGTGGTGAGAAATTTCTGGGCTACTGTCCACCAGCCAAAAAGTCTTGATCCCCTGAACAAATTTCCCGGAAACAGTTACTTTCTATCTGCTCAGGATCTCGAGCTATTGTATATGCGAGAATTGCATGTGGATACTAGCACCGAGTAGTGAGAAAATTCTGAACAACTGTCCACCAACGAAAAGATCTTGACTTCCTGAACAACTTTGCCAAAGACATTTACTCTCTATCTGGTCAGGATCTAGTGATGTATCACATGCGAGAACTTAACATGTATACGAGCACTACCTAGTGAGAAGATTCTGAACTACTGTTCACCAGCAAAAAGGCTCTGATCTCCTGAACAGCTTTGCCTAAGACAGTAACTTTCTATCTGGTCAGGATTTCGAGATATTTTATATGAGAATTTCACGTGTATACTAGCGCCACGTAGTGAGAACATTCTGAACTACTGTCCACCAGCCAAAAACACTTGACCCCCTGAACAAGTTTGCCGAAGACGGTAACTTTCTATCTGCTCAGGATCTCGAGCTATTGTATATGCGAAAATTGCACGTATATACTAGCGCCACGTAGTGAGAATTTTCTGAACTACTCCACCAACGGAAAAGATCATGACTTCCTGAAAAAACTTTGCCGAAGACAGTAACTTTCTATCTGGTCAGAATCTCGAGATATTTTATATGAAAATTTCACGTGTTTACTACCGCCGCGTATTGAGAAAATTTTGAACTATTGTGCACCAAGAAATAGGCTTTGATCTCATCAACAACTTTGTCGACGACTGTAACTTTCTATCTGGTCATGATCTCGAGATATATCACAAGCGATAATTCCACATGTATTCTAGCACTACGTAGTGAGAAAATTCTGAACTACTCTTCACCAGCGAAAAGGTTATGATCTTTAGAAAAACTTTGCCGAAGACAGTACTTTTCTATCTGGTCAGGATCTCGAGATTTTCCATGTTGTAATCAATTAAGTCAAATCCCACGTAGTACAGACCCCGTTTACGCGGTTTCCATTCACATTTTCTGTTATCCGCATTTTTTGGGGGTTAACTGTGATAAAAGTTTAGCTTGTTTAGTTAAAAACAAGTTTTTTAAGGTATACCCGTTGGTTTCATATCGATTGGTAGCTCGGCTGCAAAATGGCAATGGAAAACTCACACTGTTGTACAAAGTACAACGCGCGAGTACTCGTGTTACAAAACTTGGCGCGAGTAACGGAGGGTTAAGCACATAATGAGGAATTAGAACAACAAGTATTCAGAAATATATCTCTTAGCTTTTTGCTATTCTTGCATTTACGCAAAGACTCTCCAACCCGTTTTCAGAGGATTAATTTTTGTTGGTCCGAACTAAACACAGCACCATCCAGAAACTCGTTAATGCACTTGGTGCATGAATTTTGTAACAAACAATATTAATGTTAAGACCTGGAGGGTCTTTTCGATTTTTTTTAAAAAGGACGCGAACTCGTTGACGGTCGAAACAGAAGTGAAGTATGATTTTATTCCAATTATTTTCCTTTGGTTTGTTTTCCGTCGATCTTGTTTTCCGTGCTGAGCACCAATGCTACCGACGTGCCAGGAAGGCAGCTCCTCCCACACCTAGACCTTACCTTCCGACCCATCAACTCATGAACCGGGGACCAACGGCTTTACTTCCCTTCCGAAGGAAGGCGTGATCAGAGATGTTATGCCTCAGAACATCCCGGCGGCGCCGACTGGGATTGAACCCAGGCCTGCTGGGGTGAGAGGCAATCACGCTTACCACTACACCACCGGCGCCGCTATTTCAATTATGAGTTAAGTACAAAATGCAAACTAAGCATTGGCTACTCGTTGACAACAGCTTGAATTCCTCACGGGTTGAATGCCTCGATGTGGTGCAGCGTCAGCGTATCGCAGGTGCTCGGTCGTCCGGTTTGCTATATTGATGATTTGGTGGATTGGGTGTTAACTACTCCCCCTTTGAAATGTTGAGCCTCCTGGGTCAACGACTGATAGAAATGTAGGTGTCAGCAAGTGTCGGTGGTTGATATATGTAATGTAGCGGAAGAGCCTGTGGTTTTTCGTTCGGTGTACTAATGTTGATTGAAGCGGTTTGTTGACGTGCCTTAACGAAGATATAGAATTCAATTAAGATGATCAATGTTGTGGTGAACGATAATCCTCCCCACAATGACCATGATGTTACATCTGCCTTTGTCTGCAGGTATCCCAATTTGTTAATGTTTTCTAAATGAAGTTGATGTATTCTGTTAATGTTAACAGTTTCGTATGTTTGAATTCTGGATAGGTTTAGGTGAGTTGATGGCGTGAAGAACGGTTGTTCTACGACTCGGATTATTGCGTTCGTAAAAGTGTAGTTTTGAAAGGCAATAGAACAGTTTTCATAAACGATCAGATATGAGCCTTGTAGGTGTCTGTTCGTAGCTCCGCAGGTGTTGCGTAATGTATCGTTTACATCGTTCAAAACTACTGTAGTGGTTCCCATCTCAATGACTGGAATGTGATTGAAGACAGCTTCGAATGAACAGTTGCTTGTCCATGGTTGTCGTGCGTCCCAATTTTGTGAAGCATATTGTACCATGAGTCAGGCATTTTACCCCGCTTTCATTTTAGAATCGATTTAAAAAATGCCTTGAAATTTATGAAAACCATCGTTTTGGAGTTAGAAATCACTCGATCTTTGTACTCACTAAGAAATAACTAATTTTACACGTGACGGAATCCATCTTTGACATAAAAGATGCAACATAAACAAACATGTCATGTAATATTAGGTGCTCAGAGACTGAAAATTTTGTTGCTCAACGTGCTCAGAGACTGAAAATTTTGTTGCACAACGAACGTTTGAATAAGCTATATTTCACGTCTGTTATGACTCAAATTTATGTCAAAATTGACGCTCGTATGTGTGACTCTCAGAGCACCTACATTTACATGAATTTTTCTACTTTCTCCATTATTTTAGCTTCCATTCACCAGCAACTGACGACCTTTCTTGAACGGTGCGTTTTGCACCATCCTACCCCATATGATCCTCTACACGAATCGATCCAACTTTAAAGTAGACAAAATCGAATAGAAGCATCGAAAAGCTCTACGATATTTGCGACAGCAAAACATTCCCGGCAAATAAAAAGCACGGGAAACGCAATTCAGGACCGTAGTTAGCACCATAAAGCATTGCGCTTTGTTATACAGGTTACATTGTCGCTCGAAAAAAAAGGAAGAACGCCCGAATCACGGAAGGTTGCACAATACCTTCGCAGGAAGATTTCCATCATTCGTGATTTTTCATTTCTGTTTTATCACTTTCCTTCCTCTCCGATGTTGGACGGTTGTTTCGTTGCTGTTGTTGTTATTGTTACACGGAAAACACCCGAGAGCGATTACGGTCCATGTAGATCCTTTGCAATGACTTTCACTCCGCTAGAACTACCAGCAGCCGTCGTCACAGCCAGCCAGAAGAGTGAAAGTTGGCTCGTTCTCGGAGATTTTTGGTTTTTGGGAGAAAGCTCTCGCAGCATCCCTCGGACCGGAGCAGGCGTTACGTTCGATGACGATGATGGTCGATGATGGAGGATTCTCCCGAAACGTAACGGCTGCAAGGAAACCGGAGCACCGAACCTCGGCACAGCGAGCGGCTCAGTTGCAACCGAATCCTTGCGTATGACAGCCGTCGGTGTGTTGGTCCCGGTCGGTGGAATTGATATCGTCTTTGTTCGCCCGCTGTCTTCGTCTTGGTCGTCGTCGTCGTCGTCGTCGTTGTCGGTTGGGTTGGTGTCTTTGAGTTGAGAGATGACGGTGAGGTGGGTTGAATGAAGGAAAAGTACCACGCCCCAAGTGGAAGGAAGAAGTCCCTTATTTTTGCGGAATTTTCAACCGAGAAAATCATGAATGTCCTGAAAAATGAACGTGAATGGAGATGCTCACAGCTGTGAGTGAGTAGTAACAGCTGTCACTAGCAGGTGACGGAACCTTTTCCTGGTGGATAGGGGGGAATGGGGTTACTCGGAAAGGGGTGCCGCTGTGAATATTGTACATTTGCCTGTGATAAGTAACTAACCAGTTATGCTACTGTAGGAAGAAGGTGCTATACAAGTTGAAGTGAGCAGGAAGAAATAGTAAACGAGCCATGATCCTGAAGGGTGGTGGAGCGAATCGACGCTGGTGCTTCGATCCTTGGATGCTATTGTTGTGGATTGTTGCGCTCGCAGTGGAAGGTAAGGCTTTCGCACAAATTCACAAAATTCACGTCTCGGTGTTGATCCTTTTGCTTTATTCAGTCTTCAGTCACATACACACTTGCGATGTTTTGATAACTGGCAAATCCTTCGCAGAAGTATTGGTCTTTTGCTTCTCAGATCTGGTGGGGAGCCACCCCCTCGGCAAAGGATGATACAAGGATTAGCACTTTTTACAGGCGAGACCCAACCCCACGAATTGAAAATAAAAAAAAAGTGACTGGAAGTATCCTCATGTTGTCACGTTGTGGGAGCTGTTTTCTTTTCCGATGAAATGGTATCCATTTCTAAGCCTCCGTTCACTGGAAGAGGGGACGGCTTTGCCAGAATTCCCATGCTTTAATTTAGGAAATGAAAACAGCAGATCAAGTTGATCGGAAACGGGCGAGTGAAAGGTTGGTTCGGGTTTCCTGGAATGGTGGATTTATCCGGATTTGCGCCTATTTTTAGTGAAACCTCCTCCCCGGGGTGAAATGATGATTGCTTCTGGGCAAGGAAGCCTTTTTTATGGTGCCCTGGCGATTGATTACATGAGTAGGTCAGTTCGTTTGTTGTTTGGATTCCAACGAATAGTGGTCACCGGGTAAGTTGAATCCACTCTGGGGTATTGATCATACATGAGTGATTTTAAATTGGGCTTCCAGAAGGTCGCGTTTCACGAATTTGAGTGTCTGTAATGAACGTAATTGGTACACTCTAGCAGGCCAGTTTCGGAGCAAAATCCAATTGTGGTTACAAAGAGCTGGCACATCCGGAAACGTTTATTGGATTTCTAGCGGTTTATGGAACATGCATAAGCTTGCAACAGGACAATATCAAGCTGTATTCATCTAGCAGTGTTACTTTACCTTTCTTATACGTCTATTCAAGTGTATATTTTCCTATTGCTTTAATGATAAATGTGTAAACAAGTTACCTTTAATGTGTCCAGGAAAGAGATACTGGGAAGCTGACACACGTATGAGAAAATGGACGTGGAAATGAGGACGTAAAAAGCTTCGAAAAATTGGCTCACAGCAGCATTTGATCCCACAAACAGCGTTGCCAGATAAACCGCGCTGCCATGTATTTATACCCATTTTCAAACTTGATACCATTATACAGATTATTTTTTAGATTTTATACCGATTTATACCGATTTGTATAGTAATCAAATTGTTACCGCATCATTTCTATTATGCATAGTTAGACTATCCTCACGAAACGAACATGAAAAAGAAGCGCGCTTAGAACGAAAGGCTGGCAATGGATTTTCTCGTCGTTGTTTTGCTCACTCCTTTCAATGAAAGTATCATCGATTTTCGAGTTGAAACAAAACCTCATTATGGTATTCAATTCCTTTCACCGGCACTCTGTCACCGCACTTTCAATTTGTTTAATATGCGTTATGTTCCATTTTCGTTACTTATTTATAGATGGATGGACGATACATTAAACATATTACGAGTAATCTTCAAGTATTTTCACGTGAGAAATGCTTTAAATAATCATTTTCATTTTCCGTAATATAGCGTTTTTGATCTAATTTCCGTCGTACTAAGCACAACCCACGCTTTAACTCTCTTTCTTTCTAGTCCTAGGCAGGAAATATGACAGGTGGGCAGGAACTCATGGTCTCCCAGTGTTGGTGAGTTCTTTGCCGTTAATTTTTACGAAAAGTTACCTATTTTGCCATACAGAAATTCAAAACAAAAATTTATCTGCGGATTTGGACAGTTTTTGACCTATTTCATACGACCGGAAGGTGAATGCTGGTCACAAATGCTGTGCCAAAGATATCCTACGCAATTAATCAATCTTTGATGTGAATTTCACTAATAAACACGAGGAGCATTTCTTATAGCAAAACTTGCCATAACAAAATGGGCATGGTTCATTTTAGTAAAAAAAACTAACACTTCTTCCAACTGTGTCACCTTTCTATTTCCCGCCTAGCACTCAGTCATTCAAAACAAGGATTGGCTACCATCACTTTATACTCTCACGAGGCAGTGAATGATGAGGGAGTTGGCAGTTCATATTCATATGAAAATGACTCATTTAACCTGACTTTTTTGTGCACTGATCCAGACTTACTGGAAAAGTGACTATTTTTGAGAAGTGGTCATAGGGCTCTGCGTTTGAATAACATAAACTTTACAATTAAGAGCAAAGTGGACATTTTTCCACACCCTAAAGCAAGAGTTTCTAGAATTGGTTTTGGAAACTACACACTTCGAAAACTTCATGTAATTTTAAGTTTCCAGGAGCATTTACGAGAAAACGAATGGGAAGAATTATTGGAATCTCCCAACCTAGTCCACGATTTCAATGGCACCCCTACAATGGCACCCCCTGCTTTGCAGCAAAATAGATTAGATTTCGAAAACTCGTTGGAAATGGACGATAATGAACTGTAGTATTTAGTAAGATTTGACAGTTCGAATAAATTCTTTAGCAAATTCCGGTCCCTAACAAACAGATGTGACAGTCCACGTACGGCTTTGAGAATATATCGTGTAAAGTTGCGTAGTGGTGCATCAAACGAAAATCTAAGTGCATTGTTTAAAATAAGCCGACGGACACTTGAACGACTCCTCATCAAAGCCAGAGAATGTTTATTACTGGAATTTGTACCCAGGCATTTAGGATTTGATCATATTGACGGAGAAGACGTGGTGAGAAAAATCTCATGATCCCAGACGCAATACACGGAAACATGGATGTTCCACTGGAAATACGAAAAGCAATCGTTATCTGCGATGGCACGTACGTATGCATATTTTCAAAAAAGCAGCAACTTTTCTTTCCTGCGAAAATCGTACAGTCTTCATAAGAACGATAATCTATTGAAACCCTTTCTAATCGTTTGCGGTGATGGATACATAACTGAAGCAAATGGTCCTTATGCAGCTACAACGTTGGATGCAACAATTTCGAAAAATATGTTGCACAATGATGAAGGAGTTCTGAATTGGTTTCTTAGGTTAGGTGATGTTTTTATGTTGGACAGAGGATTTCGGGACGCTATGGAAGAACTGAGTTTATTCGGCTATGAAGCAGTGATACCACATTCCAAAAGCCGGAATCAAGACCAACTGACAACGGAGCAGGCCAATCAGTCACGGTTGGTTACCATATCTGTCGATGGGTGATTTAGGTAGTTAACGGACGATTCAAGCGAGATTTCAAGTTGTTCCGTCAAAGCTATATCAATGTGGTTATGTGGCATCTGTTTGAAGATTTCAGAGTGGCAGCAACCCTCATAAATGCGTTCCACCCACCTGTTGCGAACAACGCATGGGCTCTCGACTTTCTTGATATCATTAATGAAAGAATCAACCTGCCCAATCGATTGTCTGAATACGTCATAAACAAATATTTGAACAGGCAGCGAGCAACTTTTTTGCTAATGTCTTGGGATCTACCAGAGTTCCACGATTTAGCAGAAATATTTGGTTGCTAAGATGCAGGATTCATTCTCGACATGCTGGATCACGAAAATATTATAGTTACATTCTTGTTGGTCGAGAGAGGCAATAGGTAATACTTATTACTCATACATTTCTGGTAAAAGAACACTATGATGTTGCGCACATATTATGACTGTAGTATGGTTTTTAATATACGCAAGATTCCAGCATAACTTTAATCATACTGCTCAATTTTTAGATAATATAACAACAATCTTACTATCATTTTTCAAATATCTGGGAATTACAATATTATATTTTACCTTCTTACATCAAAATAAAATAAAATATTTTTCTTTATGCTTTTTCTTCATTTGCAGCTGAAAAATCTTTTGAAGAACTACCATTAATGTTTTTTTAATTAACACTAAACTTCCACAATATTTGACGTCCTACTGATTCTTATAAATGTTATATATGATTGCTTTAAATCAACCAATATCCACAAATGATTTGACCAGCCAACATCCAACATAATAACATTTAATAAGTGTGTTCTTGTAACGTATGTTAACATAATTTCACGAGATGAACTACCCGAGGGCTAAAAATATCGCTAATGAAGATTTAAAAAAATGTTTAAAAAAATAATGATTTAATCAGTTTACTAACTCCAGGTAATAAAACAGGTTGACACATGTGAGACATTATTATTATTTTCAATACATATGGTAAAAAACTAAAACACCTCAAATTCGTTTAGAATATATGGAACAACTTTATCTTGTCTTAAATAGACCTTTCAAATGAGATATATGTCATTCGTGTACATCACAGGACCAGATTTGCCCAATCTCCTTTGAATGAATTTGGTTATGATATGGTTTTACGGGAGAATTTTTAATTTTGTATGAGAAACGGAAACGAAACGAATCTATTCATTTGCATGTCAAAAATTAAAAATAGCTTAATTTTGATTATTAAAAAATAAGTAATACTTCGCCGTAGAAATAATGATTGAGAAATAAAGTGAGTGAAGTGCTGAACAAGCTTGCAAATGCTCATTACAGCTACAATGCTATTTTTCGGATAATATTTTTAATAATAATTCTTATTAACAAGATGCAAGAAGAGATGGTAAAGTGTGTGTGTGACACATAAAACATGTCAATTTAGCTTTCAGAGTGTCACAATAGCGAATAGCTATAACGATGAGCAACGCGATGAGTGAGCAATCAGCGATCATAAAATCGCTAGTTGTGACATTCTTAAAGCAAAATTGACAAATTTTATATGTCATACACAAACTTTACCACCTCTTCTTGCATCTTAAAAATAAAAATTATCATTATAGTATCTCAATTAAATTATCATTATAGTATCTGAAGTTTTGAAGTTATGTTTATATGATTTAAATAAGTGCTTTCTGGATAAAAATATACCACAAATAAACCATAACATAGGGGAAATGGCTCTTATGTTGGCCTTTGGTTCTAGGATAGGGCCCATCGCTGGAAATCTGCTATTTATTCATTTTATTTAGATGAACACGTCATTGGGACAGTGCTAATGGATATTTTTGGTCGC